GGCGGGTGAGAGGAGAGCGTTCGGGCCTCTTCTCCGTCCTGGGAGGTGATGGGGGCGGGTGAGAGGAGAGTGTTCGGGCCTCTTCTCCCTCCTGGGAGGTGATCATGGCGGGTGAGAGGAGAGCATTCGGGCCTCTTCTCCGTCCTGGGAGGTGATCATGGCGGGTGACAGGAGAGCATTCCATGCTGTTTTTCTTGGGCCAGTCCAATGTCTTTGTTAGGAAAGACCGTTGGAAGAAATGTTTGTTTCGCCTTGCTTATTAGTCACATAGAATGTGCCTCTCTTTAACGAGCTTCCCAAGTAGACAGCTGATTGCAGTTTTTCATGATATGGGCCGTCCCCACCCTGGAGAATATCATGATGATGTCCTGTTCTGTGAGAACAGGGTTTCGGTTTCTTTGCACTTGCATTAGTGTTCATTGCTGAACTTGGTCCTGTCAAGACGCAGGGTCAACCCCATATGGTCACTCCCCAGCCCTGACCTGAGCCCAGGGAGGTACCTGGGGTGGGCGCAGGTGGGCCCACCCTCCAGCTCTGAAGCATAGCAATGGTGCGGGGCAGCAGTGGTGGCCCGGCCAACCCTTCCTGAGTCAGAACCCTCTGCCTTGCCTGGGCTAGACTTGTTTCTGAGCCACAAGCCACAGGGGTGCTGCCACTGTATTCCCTGCAGGGCACTGGCCCATTATAAGCAGCCGTTCTCGGGAGGGCGCCAGTGAAAAGCCTTGTTCCAAGCCATTTCAGGAGGGTGGCACTGCTTCCAAGGAGGCAGAGACAGCGGCCAGATGAGCAGAGCCACTCCGGAGTGGTGTGGCCAGCAGGGCCAGCCTGACTGGCTGCACAGGAGCTCCAGCTCGCAGAGTGAACAAGGCAAAGTGCAAGGTGTTGCTGCGAGAGCCTCTGGCAGCCATGCCGGAGCCGCCGGCCAGAGACCTACAGTGACTGGCGCTCCCTCCTCCCTGTGTTTGTCCCTAGTGTCCACAGGACCAGATGTCCGAGTCTGGCCAGTCCTCAGCGGCCGCCACACCCAGCACCACAGGCACCAAATCCAACACGCCCACATCCTCTGTGCCCTCAGCCGCCGCCACACCCCTCAACGAGAGCCTGCAGCCCCTGGGGGACTATGGCGTGGGCCCCAAGAACAGCAAGCATGCCCGGGAGAAGCGTGACAGCCGCAACATGGAGGTCCAGGTCACCCAGGAGATGCGCAACGTCAGTATAGGTGGGCGCCCAGCCCCGGGGCGGAGGAGGCAGGCCTTGGCTTGGGGAGATGCAGCTGTATCGGGCTGTGTAACAAACATACCAGGCGTGCAGTGCAGACAGCAGAGACACGGTCCTCAGGTCCCAGAGGCTGGGGTCCAAGATCACGGTGCAGGCAGGGCCATTTCCTCCTGCAGCCACTGCTCAGCCTGTAGACTCCACCTTCTCCCCGCATCCTCAGCAATCCTCCCCTCTTCCTATGAGGACACAAGCCCGCTGGATTAGAGCCACCACATGAATACGTTTTACCATAATCACCTCTCTAAAGGCCTAGCCTCCAAATATAGTCGTGTTGGGGGGTGTCTATCTACACACGGATTTGGGGAGGCACAACTAAGACAGTAGCCTACGTCACCCACGACACACAGCCCAGTGAGGAGAAGGTTGAGGGCCTAAAGGAGGTCCAGCCACTGACCTTCCTGGACATGGGATCTTTGCGGATTGGGCTTGCTGCCAGCAATCCCATGCAGAGAGGCTGCTGCAACCCCCCCCCACTCCAATCCTTCACCTCAGACACCCACTGTGCTGGAGTTCGCCCTCTGCCCAGCCAGCCTGGGATGAGCCATTTTTTGATCACCCCCACCTGGTGGGTAGTCCAGCTGTGCCTCCAGACTCAGGTTCTGAGGGCAGCAGTGAGCAGGACAGAGGCTGCCAGGCCCTCTCCTGACCCCCAGGTCCCACTGTGCTCTCCCCCAGGCATGGGCAGCAGTGACGAGTGGTCTGATGTTCAGGACATTATTGACTCCACTCCAGAGCTGGACATGTGTCCGGAGACCCGCCTGGACCGCACGGGAAGCAGGTACTGGTTCAGCCCAGCCCTGGGGTCCTAGGGGTCAGTACTTATCTAAGTCTGTGACTTTGGTGAAGGCACCCTCTGCCACCAGTGGGAGAAACATGGCGGTCAGACCTACCGCCTCCCGTCCACTCCTGGCCCGCACTGCAGAGTGAGCGTTGACTGGCTATGGTGGGGGGTGTCGGAAGAGTCTGCACATGCAGTCGCTCCAGGCTGCCCACTGACTCTGCTCTCTCTCCCAACCTGTGTATCCCAACAGCCCAACCCAGGGCATCGTGAACAAAGCTTTTGGCATCAACACTGACTCCCTGTACCATGAACTGTCGACGGCAGGGTCTGAGGTCATTGGGGATGTGGATGAAGGGGCCGACCTCCTAGGTAAGTGCAAGCCTTCCCCCACGTGCGTGCGCAGTGTTGGGGCTTTCTGCTGTCAGTTTTGTTTGTAATGAAAGTTGTCTGTTGGCCAGGCATGGTGGCTCACGCCTGTAATCCCAGCACTTTGGGAGGCCAAGGTGGGTGGATCACGAGGTCAAGAGATCAAGACCATCCTGGCCAACATGGTGAAACCCCGTCTCTACTAAAAAATTACAAAAATGAGCTGGGCGTGGTGGCAAACGCCTGTAGTCCCAGCTACTTGGGAGGCTGAGGCAAGAGAATTGCTTGAACCCAAGAGGCAGAGGTTGCAGTCAGCTGAGATTGTGCCACTGCACTCCAGCCTGATGCCTGGCGACAGAGTGAGACTCTGTCTCAAAAAAAAAAAAAGAAAGTCCTCTGTCAGCCGTGAGCTAGGAACCTTTATTTTTCCAGCTTTATATACTTATTTTTCTATTTTGAGACAGAGACTCGCTCTGTTGCCAGGCTGGAGTGCAGTGGTGGGATCTCGGCTCACTGCAACCTCTGCCTCCCGGGTTCAAGCGATTCTCCTGCCTTAGCTTCCTAAGCAGCTGGGATTACAGGCATGGGCCACCATGCCCTGCTAGTTTCTGTATTTTTGGTAGAGACAGGGTTTTACCATGTTGGCCAGGCTGGTCTCGAACCCCTGACCTCAGACGATCTGCCTGCCTCAAGCTCCCAAAGTGCTGAGATTACAGGCTTAAGCCACCGGACCCGGCCTATTGAGTTTTATTTCATATGTAATCACCCTTTCATCTCCACGGGGGACTGGTTTCTGGACTGCCCTAAGGATACCCAACTCTGAGGCTTCTCACGTCCCAGCTCTAAAGTGGTGTAGTGTTTTCGAAGAACCTGTGTGCACCCTGCACACCCTCCCGTGTCCTCCACATCTCGTCTGGGTTAAGCTGTAGGTGCTGCGGAAGTAGGTGCTGTTTTACTGTGTTGTTTGGGGAATAATGACAGGAAAAAATATACACGTTGGTATGGACGCGGCCACCGCAGGCCTAGCTGGCTACATTTCCCATCCGAGGTTGGTTGAATCCACAGATGCAGAACTCATGGGTATGGAGGGTTGACTGTACCATCAAATTCACCTCCGAAAGTGCATGGCTCTGTGGTTTCAGCATACTCACAGGTGGTGCCGCCGCCCACAGTATCTTAGTTTAGAATGTTCCGCCGTCCCAAAAAGAAACCCATGCCTGGTAGCCTCGCCACATTTCATGCACACACCGTCAGGGCTGTTGACTTTCGAGGAGGTTGGGAGGGTGCCCATGTGCCTGCTCAGTGTGCATTAGCCTCTCCATATGCTCTAGGGCCATCAACTTTGGAGGAGGCTGGGAGGGTGCCCACCTGCCCACTCCTGCCCAGACAGCCCTGGCTTTGTCTCTGTGCCGCAGGTCCACACCAGACCCTCTGCCGCTGTCTGCAGCAGCTGCGAACAGCAGGGCCTGCTTCCTGTCAGCACATGGAGTCCCTGTGCTCACAGCATCTGCTGGTAGCTGAGTGCTGGCCATGTGGCTCAGATCCCCAGGGCAGTGCCTTCAGGTATGGCAGGCAGGCAGTAGGACAGTCTGGTCTGTCCCCTTGTATGCATCAGGGTCCGAGCCGTTCGCCATGGCCTTGCTCCCCACAGCCCACAGGGCGAGAAGCTCCAGGATCCCAGGCTGCTTCCTGGTATACTCCTGGCTGATTGTCGTATCTGGGGTAGGGGGACCTACAGGGTGCAGAGTGATGTAGGGTGCCTCAGGTCTGACAGGGAGGCCTGTCTCAGCCTGGCTTGAGTCAGAAAGTGTCCCAATAGAGGCCACGTATAAATAACATCATATTTTCTGTCTTAACCATGTTGAAGCGTTCAGCTTAGTAGTGTTGGGCACACTCTAGTCAATGGTGAAAGATGGAATGTTCTCCCCTACGATCATGAAGAAGGTGAGGGGTCCTGCTTTGGTGCTGTGAATTTTCAGTGAAACTTTTCTCATGTGTTGCAAAAATATATATAAAAAATCCAAGGCCGGGTGCGGTGGCTCAAGCCTGTAGTCCCAGCACTTTGGGAGGCCGAGGCGGGTGGATTACAAGGTCAAGAGATCAAGACCATCGTGGTCAACATGGTGAAACCCCATCTCTACTAAAAATGCAAAACATTAGCTGGGCATGGTGGTACGTGCCTGTAATCCCAGCTACTCAGGAGGCTGAGGCAGGAGAATTGCCTGAACCCAGGAGGCGGAGGTTGCGCTGAGCCGAGATCGCGCCATTGCACTCCAGCCTGGGTAACAAGAGCGAAACTCCATCTCAAAAAAAATAATAAATAAATAAAAATAAAAATAAAAAATCCAAAGGCAATTAATACTCAGAAACATTCTGCCAAATTGGGGCAATCTCTTTTAATATTTTGATATCCTTCCACTCTACATCATTCAGATAATGTATATTTTTCAACATTTTTTTTATTTTTGGAAAAAATTATATATGCCTATAATAATATTTAAATAATATCAGAAAATTCCAGGAAGAGAGTAAAAACCAGAGGGGCCGGGCGCGGTGGCTCAAGCCTGTAATCCCAGCACTTTGGGAGGCCGAGGCGGGTGGATCACGAGGTCAAGAGATCAAGACCATCCTGGTCAACATGGTGAAACCCCGTCTCTACTAAAAAATACAAAAAATCAGCTGGGCATGGTGGCGCGTGCCTGTAATCCCAGCTACTCAGGAGGCTGAGGCAGGAGAATTGCCTGAACCCAGGAGGCGGAGGTTGCGGTGAGCCGAGATCGCGCCATTGCACTCCAGCCTGGGTAACAAGAGCGAAACTCCGTCTCAAAAAAAAAAAAAAAGAGAAAAGAAAAAGAAAACCAGAGGGAACGTCGCCCCCATGCCATGATGATTGTTTTAATGTCTTGGTGACGCCCTACCAGGCACCACGACCCCCAGATGTGGACACGTGTGTACACGGGACACAGAGTGTCGGGTTGCAGCTGCCCTTCTCATTGTGGGTGCCATTCATATTTCCGTGGGTGCCAGCACTGACACGGCCACCACTGGTCCTCACTGCAGCCTCAGGCCGTCCTCCTGCCAGTGTCCCCTGTTTATAGGTGAAGAAACTGAGGCCAGGTGTGGTGGCTCTCGCCTATAATCCCAGCACTCTGAGAGGCTGAGGTGGGTGGATCACATGAGGTCAGAAGTTTGAGACCAGCCTGGCCAGCTTGGTGAAACCCTGTCTCTACTAAAAATACAGAAAAAGTTAGCCAGGCGTGGTGGCACGAACCTGTAATCCCAGCTCCTCATGAGGCTAAGGCAGAAGAATCATTTGAACCCAGGAAGCAGATATTGCAGTGAGCCTAGATTGCGCTATTGGACTCCAGCCTGGGTGACAGAGAGAGACCCTGTCTCAAAAAAAAAAAAGAGAAACAGGTCAGGGAGGGTGAGAAGACAGTCAGAGCTCGGGCTCAAATGCAGATCCGACCCAGAACAGCAGCCCAACTCTGAGCACGGTCTGTGCTGTGCAGTAGCTTTACTGAGATGTGATTTTCACACTGTGTAATTCATCCACTTACGGGGTATGGTCCCACGGGTCTTAGCATGCCCATTGTTTACAGTTATACAGTTTGCACCTTTTGGGTGGTGAATGTTTTCACCCCTACCTCTGTGTGCCCCTGCTGCATAGCCACCCCCTGCTGCGCCCACCTAGAGGACACTGGCCAGGAGCCTGCATTCCCATGCCACTCTGGCACAACTGTTTTCTTATATCATGACGGAGGCCGTGAGTCACTGTGCACTCCACTGTGTGCTCTAGGCTCTGCCACCCTGCTCAGAAGGGTGCTGGTCATCTGGGCACTGCCGAGCTCAGGCTGGCACAAGAGTCAGCTCTTGGGAGTAACAGACCTTTTGGTCCCTTTCCAGAGCCTTAAACATAATGCGTCTAAGAAAGTCAGGCAGGGAGGCCGGGCACAGTCACTCATGCCTGTAATCCCAGAGCTTTGGGAGGCCAAGGCAGGATGATCACTTGAGGCTAGGAGTTTGAGACCAGCCTGGCCAACATAGCAAGACCCTATCTCTACAAAACATTTTATAAAAAATTAGGCAGGTGGCCGGGTGCAGTGGCTCACACCTGTAATCCCAGCACTTCTACAAAACATTTTATAAAAAATTAGGCAGGCGGCCGGGTGTAGTGGCTCACGCCTGTAATTCCAGCACTTCTACAAAACATTTTATAAAAAATTAGGCAGAGGCCGGGCGCGGTGGCTCAAGCCTGTAATCCCAGCACTTTGGGAGGCCGAGGCGGGTGGATCACAAGGTCAAGAGATCGAGACCATCCTGGTCAACATGGTGAAACCCCGTCT